TGCTGCGCCGCTGAACCTGTTCGGATGCGCCGCTGGACCTGTTCCGCTGCGCTGCGCTGCTGAACCTGTTCCGCTGCGCCGCTGAACCTGTTCCGCTGCGTCGCTGGACCTGTTCTGCTGCACCGCTGGACCTGTTCCGCTGCGCCGCTGAACCTGTTCCGCTGCGCCGCTGGACCTGTTCCGCTGCGCCGCTGGACCTGTTCCGCTGCGCCGCTGGAACTGTTCCGCTGCGCCGCTGGACCTGTTCCGCTGTGCCGTTGGACCTATTCCGCTGCGCCGATGGACCTGTTCTGCTGCTCGAAGTTAAGGAATTCGAAAAAACGTGAAATTCAAGAAACGAGAAAATCGTCACGGTAGAAAAATAATACAGAACCTTACTTGAGAGAAATTGACGGCGGAAAGCGTCGCCGTTGAAATCGGGAGGCGTGAACGTAGAATGCGAATGAGAGAAATTGACGGCGGAAAGCGTCGCCATTGAAATCGGGAGGCGTGAAGGTAGAATGCGAATGCGCTCTTGACCGGCGCGAAGAAATGAAGGTTGAAAAACGCTTAAGCGAGGAAGCCAGAAATCGAAGGAGAAAGAGCCGAAAGGAAAAGAACCATCGCGACGCCAAGGATCGGATTCCGCGTGAGTGGAGTTTACTAGCTCTGATACCGTGATAGAATTGGAGCTTAAATTGATTGATCAAGAAGGCACTAGGCCTTAAGTACAAAGAAGGTTGGGTTGAGCAAAGCTAGGGAAAGGATGGGATGGGAATCCTAGCAAATCTCCAATTGGTGAGTTGGCAGATTTGTAGGATTACGAGGGAATCCCAACCAGATAGGGTTGGGATTACAAATCTACACCCAACCTGCAAATAACATAAACCATATAAAATAGAGTACACAAAGTGTTGACAGCCTATCTCTAACACCCGCCTCCTGCCACCACTGACGGCTTTTGCCTTGTCTTTTGCTTCACCCTCTCCCCTCCCCTCTCCCCCCATTTCCCATAGTCATCAGGTCATTTCGCAGCAAACAGACCTCTCAATGGGGCCCATGTCGCGATCAGTAGTGCACAGGCTGTTCCGCCTGCCCCCACCATTTTCCCTGGCCTTTGCCTCACCCTTCCCCTCCCTCCCCTCTCTCCCCTCATTTCCCATCAAATCAGGTCATCTTACAGCAAGCAGCCGTCTCACGAGCAGCAGTGCACCGACCGTTCCGCCTGCCCCCCGCCACCACTGATGGCATGTACCCTGCCTCATTCCACACCGCACACCACCCCATCTCCCATCTAATCAGGTCATCTTACAGCAAGCAGCGCTGTCAGGGGGAGCCATCTCGCGAGCAGTTGTGCACTGACTCTTCTGCCTGCCCCCTGCCACCACTGACGCCATCTTCAGACTCTTGCTGGGGGCTGGGTGGATAGCTGATGCCGGGGGAAACTGTGCTGGTGGGGTGATGGGAGGGGCAATGGGAGGGGGGATGGTGAAGCAGGAAGGGATGTGAGCCCATGCTCTCCCCAGCCATCACTGATGCCATCTTCAGGCTCTTGCTTGGGATTGGCTGAATAATGTTGCTAGGGGGATGGATTGGGGATGGGCGATGGGATTGGGAATCAATGGTGAGATGTAAGATCATGGTGCCTCCAGCCACCAGTGTTTCAATCGAATGGCTGAGGCTTGGGGAGATACAGTAGTGCCAATGGGTGGGTTGGGTTGGGGGGGATGATAATGAGCAGCAACAATAGATTTGAACTCCTTTTGATTTCACGGCCGAGATGGGGAGTGAAATATGCAAACGGTAACGCGCAGGCACAAACTAAGCATGCTATGTTGGTAGCGAGCAAGGTGTAGACCGACTGGCCTTGTACAAAAATGCATGGTTCAACAAAATCAGGCACGTGGTGTTGTGAAAACCGCTAACCGGTACCAGTAATGGGTGAAGAAAGGTTTAGCCCGTGAATAGTGTGGGAGAATTTGAGGATGTCCTTGCAGATTCAGAGATGTTTCTGTAGTTTTAGACTTAATTGAATTAACCGTATATAATTCATGAAACACTCGCGCACGACGAATCAACAGAAAATCTGAGGTGCACGTGGCGGGTCAGGGCGCGTCACATTTCACAAATTGAACCTGTGAGGGTTCGATGTGTAGTGTACAGTAGCTCGCGATCTCGGGAACGCTTTTGTATCCCGAGTTCGCGAAAACTCAGGACGCGTCCCATGAGGCGATAGATCGTCCAGCGTCGATATGAAACTGCACTAAGATCCCGTTTCTTCATCCAAAACTTGTAGAAACATTTTTAACCCCGTAAAAAAATAAATGAAGCCTGAGGACAATCGTCCCATGTGGCTTGGGGACACAAACACGCAGATTAGAACACCGCTGTGGCGACCGAAGCTCACAGGCTCGGAGTGGTTATGATCCTCCGCCAGTTTGTGAAATGTGACACGTCCTTAATAGTGATCCTGATCACTCTTACCCCTCCCTCCGCCCCCCCCCCCCCCCCCCCCCCCCCCGCCCCCCCTCCCATCATTCACGCCTAGTTCATGGCCTCCTCACGCCTAACGAGGAGTGACGATCACGGATCCGGCGAGACAGGCTTCTCGCACGCATCGCAAAGTGTGCAGGCTACAAAAAATTGCACGAAGTTTGCACGGGTCGTCGTCGCGACGCCGATGCAGGACATGCACGTGAAGGAATATATTAGAGAGCGTAGCGATAACGAGAGAGTTTCTGCTATGAGAATGATGTTGCGCCAGCAACTTGGTAGAGTTTCGATACAGTTTGCCTCTAAGGACTTAGTGAGGATTGAAGTAGCATTCGGGCCAAGTAGAATTGCAATATCAAATATGAATACAAAAGCAAACACACAACTAGATATAGGCTACGGGAAGGTTTCACAAAGTTGGCGTGGCACTGCGCAGTAACCCAACCCCACGAAAGTGGTGTGTGGGTGAGCGAACACGCCTCGTCAACTTCCCAACCCAACTCAGCAGGGAAGTCAATGCCGAGCTCGCCAATTCTCCCAGCACAACTAGAAATGGCGAGACTCACAGAGAATCACCCACAACCACCAAGACCACCCAAGAAGCATGCCCACGATTTCCCTAGACTAACACCACCCCAGCAATGACTGTTTAGTGCTGCCGTTGTCACATCGCGTCACTACGCAACCATCGCCAAATCATAGGGTCGGTGCTGGACTGCTCGTCTTGGTCTTTCATAGTCGACCTGCCAAGTCAAACGGTCGTCGAGGGCCCTTGCTGTCGTATGGCCCTCTAACAGTGCGGAGGGTGTAGCGCTCAGGCGGGACGGGGAAGTGGGCTTGCCGCGTCCCGATGGGCCCCAGCTGGCGGCGATGGCGATTGCGCGCAAAGTCGACCGACGTCGAGAGGATATACAGAACCTTGGAGATCCCCTACCAACCTCCCAGAGGACTTGCATTAGAAGTTAAAATCCAGAATCCGTGGTAGTTGTTTTGCTGTCCGTTCTTCTCACAAAACGCATCGGCTCTTCCTCTTGTTAACAAACGGGACCGAGCTCACAATGATGACGGCGACAGCAAGGCTTTTGGAGGAGCTTTTGAGCGTAGGGACAAGGTTAGCCGTTCGATTTGAGGATGCAAGGAGGGAGTTGGAAGAGGAACAGCGACAGAGAAACTCTTCGGAAATCACGGAGAGCCCAATATTGACTAATAGATTGGAAAGTCTGGAGAAACTTCTAAAAGAAACGAGGGAGGAGAACATCAACAACATTAGCGAACTTAAGAATGAGCTAGCAGGTGAGAGGGCTGCAAGGGAGGAGAAGGAAAAGGAGGTTGCTGCACTGACAGCGCGACTCTCGCAAACAGAGGAATTGATGTCGCATCAGAAAGAAGAAACAAGCAAGATTCGGGAGGTGAGCGGATTTTTTTCTTCAAGCGTGTTGCCCACAATTGAATGATTTAATATCTACTCACTCCAGTTCTAGCGTTTTCTCACAATGTGTTGATTTCAGGCTGTTTCGCGGGGTTCTTGTCAGTCGCCAACAAGTGTAATTGCTCAGGATGAAGAAGCACGGGTTTCAAGACAACAGATGGAATCAATTGTGTCTGCATCGGTAGCACAGGCAGTAAAATTGCTGGTGTAGCCAAAGGAGGAAACGAAGGATTGGGAGGCGAGAGCTTGTTATCAGCCAAAAGGCACTGTTTTTTCTGTTCGCCGGTCTCGTATTCAAAGTAACGGTGTTCCAGGCAATCCATGTGACTTTGAAACAGGGGCCGACCAATACATGTTTGAAGATATGACAAAACGGCATCAACGGTGAGCAAAAACAATGGGGTAGACCCTGATCCAGGACTTCCTAACCTCCCTGGCTGACACCCCTGAAGAAAAGCGTTAGGATTCATTCTGTCAACGTAACAGCCTTGAAGCCCCTTCACACCATGACATGGGCGGAAGAGCTGGAATCTATGATCCTAGTTTGCTGACTCATCGTTTTTTTTTTTATCATCATCCTGACGGCTCTCTGTCACGGGTTACAGGTCCAGGGCTTTCCCAAAGTCCCTCATAATCCTTGTTCTTTCTCGTGGCCATATCATGCCACGAGAGATTTTTTATCAGCTGACATGGTGCACATGAGGGCGCTGACGAGCCTCGAGCACTGGATCTCAGCTTGACGGATGCCAGGAGGGACGATGGGTTACCCCATCTTGGAAAGTGAGGCACTGAGAAGGCTAGTACATGCGTGCGTGAAAGTGGCATTGTAGGTCCTTTAGGGTCGATTGGTACCAAATGACTCTGAGGTGAGGCAGGAGACCCTGCCTAGCACCTCAGGGTCAGTTGGTAGCATGTCCTCCCCCCTATAGTTCCTTGTATCATGTCGGCGTGTGCCTTCTCCTCCCGCTCCCTCTTCAGTGAAGCTTGAGCAGGAGGAGAAGGAGTGCAAACGCAAGGGGTGTGGCATTTTCCTCCCATGAACCCGTTTGCCTGATTCCCGTGTGTATTTGCCTCTATCTCTTTCCCCGCCACTCCCCAGATGCAGTTGAAGCGGAAGCAGGCGGAGCAGGAGGAGCAGGAGGAGGGGAAGCGCAAGGAGCAGGCCGAGGCGCACCTGTTCACGGTGATCAAGGTGTCGCGAGACAAGGACCTGTGGGAGCAGATCGGCAGCGACCTCATCTTTGACCTCGTGGACCACGAGCACGTGACAAGTTTCCGCTTGCCGAACCAGATGTGCTTTGTGGACTTCCAGAGGGAGGTGGAGTGGGAGGTTGGCGTTCCGGTGGCAGGGCAGCGGTTTTGGCTGTGGGCGCATCAGCAGAACCACACGTACCGCCCCAACCGACCGCTTAATCCCGTGGAAGAGGGCATGACGGTGAGAAGGGGGGGAAGGTGGGGGAACGGGGATGGGGCGGTGGAAGTGGAGAAAGAGTGAGAGTGAATAGCGTCCATTACACTCTGTTCGGTTTCTCCCTCGCCCGATTTCCCTCCACTCTAGTCCCTTACACGCTGTTCGGTCTACCCAGACGGGGCAGCTGAGGGAATCAGTGTGCGGGCCACATGCAATGGACCTTCGTCTGCTCTCCCAATCTTTTCCAATTCCTTTCTCCCCGTATCCTCCCGCCCCCTCCCCTCGTCCCACCCGTCCTCCCCTTTCAGGTGCGACAGCTGAGGGACTCAGTGAGCAGGGCACACCGCACGGACCTGCGTCTGTTCCTAGAAGGCTCGCCAACCCCCCCTGTAAGTCCTCTCACCCCCTCGTTGCTGCATTTCAATTCCTCATGGGGCTACTTGTGAGTCGTCTCGATCCCCTTCCCTTACCTGTAACCCGATCACGCCACGACCACACAGACGGTATTCCTTCCTTTACTCCCCCCACCCCTCGCACTCCCTCCCTCCTATTTATTAATTTCCTCCCTGTCCCGGTCCCTCCTTCCCACCCTTCGTTGACCTGGAGGTGACTATCTAAGTCGATGCAAGATTCCCCAACCTACCCATTTCCCCCCTCCTTCGTAACCCGATTGCACCAGAACCAGCTGGCCCCGCTACATGAGAGGGCCACGGACGACATTATGCTGTTTTTCAAGTTCTACAACCCAGTCACTGAGACGCTTTGGTGATAGACGTTTGGATGAGATGCTTAGGTGAGAGACACTTGGATGAGATGCTTAGGTGAGAGACGGTTAGGTGAGAGACTCTTGGGTGAGAGATGCTTAGGTGAGAGACATGCTTAGGAGGATGGTCGGTTTGGGGAGCGGGAATGCATTGTGGGCTTGGAAAACATCTTCTCCTTCATCCTCCTCTCAATCCTCCTCTCTCCACCCTGCTCCCCTCTTCCTCTTTCCTCTCCACCCCCTTCCTTTGCAAGAAATTGGGTTGTCTGTTTGTGAAGCCTGGGAAAATCGTGCCACACCTTCTGATGCATTTCTTACATGTCTTACTCTTTCCCTGCTCACACTTTTTCCCTAACCTCTACCTCCCCTCCCTCGTCTCCTTTTCCCCTCCCACCTCCCTTCGTGAAGAACGTCAGTTCGTGAAGCTCGACCAGAAGGCACGTTTTGATGTATTGTTTTACGCATCCAAAATGTATATACTCTTACCCTGCTCCCCACTCCGTCCTCTCCCTCTCTCTTACAGGTACGTGGGTCGTCTCTTTGTGAATCTCTGGCAGACTCCTGCCGATGTGCGAGGGAAGATCAACAAGATGTGTGGCCTCGCTCCCACCGATGACATCCTGCTCTTTGAGGTGCGTGTGGGTTGATGGGGGGGTGGGGAGGTGGGGTTGGGGGGGGGGGTGTAGTACTCTTAGTAATGAGTGCTGAGTCGGTTCAAGAGGGAAGGTCGACAAGATGTGTGGCCTCGATCCCAGCGTCAACATTCTCCTCTTACAGGTTTGTGTGTGTGGGGCGAGCGAGTGTAATACTGTGTGCTTTTTAGTAGGACCCTGAGAAAGTAGTCAGTGTGCGGGGTGATCAATTAACAAGATGTGTGGCCTAGATGACATTTTCCTTTTGAGGTACGCTTGGGGCAAGTGGCGTATTGTGCGCTGATAATCAGAGTCTGGCATGATATTGGTGGTGGTGGGTGTGTGTGTGTGTGTGTGTGTGTGCGTGCGTGCGTGTGTGTGTGTGTGAGGGCGAAGGTAAATTCTCCTCCCTGCGGTATTTGAGAGGAGAGTATTGTGCGGCATTTGCCAATAATCTGAGCACTCATAGCCCAGGAGATTCAGACGTCTCCCCTCCCCCCTTCCCCCCTCCCCTCCCCTTCCCTCCAACACTCCAGGAGATAAAGTTTGAGCCGAGTGTCATGTGCGAGGCCCTGGACCGCACGGTCACATTCAAAGGCGCAGAGCTGGAGGATGGCGACATTGTGTGTGTGCAGCGCACCAAGCCACTCGCCCCAGAGGGTGCGGCTGGGGCTGCCAGGAGTGGTGAAAGTGCGGTGAGGTACCCCGACGTGCCGTCCTTCTTGGAGTATGTCGCAACCGGGAGGTGGTGCACTTCCGGCGGCTGGAGAAGCCCAGCGAGGACGCGTTCTGCTTGGAGCTGTGAGTGATCTGCTGCTGAGTGTACGTGTACCTTAGTGTAGCTGTACTTCAGGTATCAGATGGTGCCACTCTCTCCTTCCTGGAGTGAGTGCGCAGCCGGCAGCTTGGTGCTCTTTTGAGATGCCTGGAGAAGCCCAGCAAAGACACCTTCTTTCTGCCTCGAGGTGGGAGTCTCATAGAGTACCTCACCCACACACAGGTGGGTGTTGATTGCTTTCGGGTGAACGGTTTTTTTTTTCTGCCTTGTTTTCTTTTAGCCAGCTTACGAACCTGCATCACAAAAATCAAGTGGCGGAAAACCTCTCATGAAGTGTGTTTGATGTGTTTTTGCAGATGATTTGAAGATGTAGGGGTCGGTACTTTTTGAGAAGAAAGTATCGAACTTTTTCCAGGTCTGTCAGATGCTTTGTAGATTTTTGGGATGTTTTAAAACAGTTTCGAAATGGTTGTGAGGAACTCCTCATTGTGTTTAGGATAACTCGTTTAAATCATGTTTGGTTAAGTTGTGTGATTATTTTTTGAACTTGGATAAGGTTTGCAATATACTTTTATGTGCACATAATAACCTTGTAAAATGAATATGCAACATTTCAAGAAAAAACTAATTGGGCTCTGAAAAACACAATTGGTAGTTTGTATATGTTACGAGTGCAATTGAGTGAACAAGCGAGGATTGCACTATCGAGACATTATAATTTTTAAGCACACATAGTGTTTTTCAAAATTGTGTATTGTGAAAGCGAAGCTGCTTGTATTGCACAATTGGCATCGTCGAAGTGCGCTAAACGGCCTTCTCCAACCACAAAAACAAGAGGGTTGGAGCTCATTTCCTCCACCCACGTTTCTCTATTTTCAAACGGCTCACTCAACCTTCCCACCACCCACCCCAGCGTAAACCGTTTTGTGCATGCCACTTGGATAGGGTATATCGTAGCTAGTGATATGAGCATGCACTAGCTTGTGTTCAATTGTGATGCAAATGTTGTAAACAGCCATTTGTAATGAGAACGATGCCAATTGATAAGAATAAGAAAGCAAGCTTTCTCAATAAGAATACAATGAGTGAAGGATCGAGCGAAGAATATATCGCGAAGCTACGGTGGTAACGGTAACGTGTGGAAAATGGGGTGCGCGACGGGCCTGGTGCCGAGGTTGGGGGACTGTCGAGGCGGAGGTCCGGAGCGCGGGTTACCAACCGAACCGTGAGGTTGGGTCGCATCGTGAACAGTGGCGGGAATGGGGTCGAGGCGAATGTCGCGAGTGGTAACGGAATATTGTGGGGTGCTGTTGGCGCAAGCAGTGGTGTACGCGCTGAGCAGGGACGCGAAGTAAGGAAAAGGGATTTTCCTTACACTACCCCCCCCCCTCAAGGAGGCCTCTCTTACGAGAGCGCGTGTATATCCCGGAAATTTCGGCTGCGCAGATACTCGTTGAGGACGGGGTGGTTTTCGATTTTGTCCAGTGGAACCCAATTGTCCTCGGTGGGTGTGCGGTCTCTCCAGCGGATTAGAAATTCGACCCTTCGAGCTCCTCGTGGGTCACGAACTCGGTGGCTCAGAATTTTCTCGGGCGTGATGACTGGCTCGGTCGGTGGTCGTGTCATGCTGGCTGGGCGATTTCGGGCCAGTTGGCTGGTGGATGGAATGTAGGGGCGAAGCAGGCTAACGTGGAAGGACGGGCTGACGTACCAGTCAGCAGGGAGGAGGAGGTGGGCGGTGACAGGTGTGATAATGTGGCTGATGCGAAATGCCCCGCAATATCGGGGGCGGAGTTTCGGAGTTATGGGCAGGCGGAGGTTTTGGGTGTCGAGTAGAACTAAGTCGACGGGCTGATAAGTGACGGGTCTGCGGTGGCGGTCGGCATTGCGCTTAGCGATGACGTTGGCTTTTTTTATTGCCTCTGCTGCCTTTGTTCGTGCTGCCTGTAAAACTTCTGCGAATTGTTGCGCACGTGGTACTGGGTTGTCGGGATTCGGGGTCATGGGTACTGTACGGTCTTGTCCGTAGTTCAGGTAAAACGGTGACTGTTGGGTCGTGGCGGATGGCGAGTTGTTGTACGCGAATTCGATGAGTGGTAGTTGCTGTTCCCAGGTGGCGGGGTCGTCGCACGTGGCTCGGATTAACTGTTCCATGGTCTGATTTTTCCGTTCCGTCTGTCCATCGGTTTCGGGGTGGTATGAAGAACTGAACTGCAGCCTCGTGCCGAACTGCTGCCACAGGTTCCGCCAGAAATTGCTGGTAAATTTTGTATCGCGGTCGCTGATGATTGCTGCTGGTATCCCGTGTAATCGAACGATGGTTGAGATGAAGAGGCGGGCCGTTTCTTTGGCTGTGATTGATTTTTTGCAGGCTGAAAAATGTGCCATTTTCGTCAGCTGATCGACGACGACTAGGATCGCGTCGTTCCCACTTGCTCCGGCCGGTAACCCCGTGACGAAGTCCATCGTCACCTGCTGCCAAGCACGCTTTGGGGGTGGTATCGGCTGCAACTGTCCTGCCGGTCGCTTCCGTGATGATTTCATGACTTGGCAGGTGGGACACGATGCCACGTGTCGCTGCATGTCGGTCAGCATTTCGGGCCAGTAATAATACCGCTGCAGCTGCTGCCGTGTTTTTTCTACTCCGAAATGTCCTAAGGTGACTCCGTCGTGTGCCTCTTGCAACAATAATTCCCGTAGGAGCGTGTAGCCCGATACCCAGATGCGATCGGTGCCCGCTTTTACGTAATAGACCCCTCTTGCCGTTGCAAACTGCTGCGAATTTCCGCTTGTAAAAAATGGGTCAGTCTAGTAACCGTGGGTAAATAGGTCTGTCAGCAGTGGGCTGGTCTGGGCGAGTAGTATGGCGTGGAGTTGGGCTGTGGGCCGGATTAATGCGTCGACGATGTTCGATGCCCCCTTTTTGTAGGTGACCGTGTAGTGAAATGTCGACTCGAGGTAGTCGAGCCAGCGGATTTGTCGTAGGTTGAGGCGGGGTTGTGCGCGGAGGTACTGTAGAGATTTGTGGTATGTTTGTACTGTCAAGTCGGCGCCGGTCAAGTAACAGTGCCACACTTTGAATGCATGCACGATCGCAAGCATTTCGCGATCGTGTATCGGGTAACTCTTCTCGGGCGGATGCAACTTTCGTGATTCGTATGCGAATCCTGTAGCAGTACGGCTCCAATGGCGATGTCGCTTGCGTCGGTAACCACTTCGAATGGGCGGTGTGGGTCGGCGATGTGCAGTACGGGTGGTGAACATAGAACATTTTTCAGGGTAGAGAAGGAAGCATGCTCTCTCTCCCCCCACGTAAAAGCGACCCCCTTCCGCGGTAAGTGCGTCAGCGGGGCAGTTAAGCGTGCCATGTCGGGGACGAACCGACGCACGTAATTAACGAACCCTAAAAAACTCAGCAGCTCCGTGATGTTCGTAGGGGGGTTCCACGCTTTTACCGTGTCCAGTTTCTTTGGGTCGATTTCTACTCCAGCCTTTGAAATAACGTGCCCCCAAAACTATAGTCTATCCTGGAAAAACTCGCACTTGGAACCCTTGGTCAGTAGTCTGTGTTTGTCTAAAACTATAAATACTGCTTCTAAATCGGCTAAGTGCTGCTGCTTGTCCCGACTGTAGACTAGAATGTCGTCGAGGTAGATGATCACACATTTATCTAAGAGTGGTCTAAACGCCTCGTTCATGGTCATCTGAAAAGTCGCCGGTGCGTTGGTCAGCCCAAAAAGCATCACAGTGTACTCAAATGACCCGTACCTAGTCCTAAATGCTGTCTTGGCACGGTCCGATGGTTCGACCTGAATCTGATGGTAACCTCCCCGTAAATCAATTCTCGAAAAGACCCGTGCAGTTCGCAGTTGATCTATCAGTTCGTCGGCGTGGGGGATGGGGCATCGCGATTTGACTGTAACCCTGTTCAATGCTTTGTAATCGATGCACATGCGAAATCCTCCGTCCTTTTTCAGTGTGAACAGGATCGGTGCGGCGAATGGGGACGAGCTCGGTCGGATGAATTTTTTCTCTAACATGTAATCTAACTGCTTCCTTAGCTCGTCGAGCTCGGGCTGTGTCAGTCTGAACTGTCGCTGTACGGTTGGCTGTGCCCCGGTTTCTAGTTCTATTCGGTGATCGTGCGCCTGCTGAGGTGGCAGACCCTCCGGTAAATCATCGGGGAAGATCCCCGGGAACCGTTTCAACAGTTCCTGTAGCTCCGATAGTACTGCCGCCAGTAGTTTCTGAAAATCGCTCGGTTGATCTGCTTCTTCCACCATTGCGATATCCACCACGTACACGTCAGCTCCAGCGGCGACAGCCCGTTTCATCGTGATGGCGTTGACTGTTGTGCCAAAGCACTATAGTGGCACGGTCATCGCACTCCCATTCAGCCTACAAGCCTGCTCAGCTTCTGGAATTTTTTCGGGAGGTGCTTCAACATGTTTTCTTCAGACCCTCAACGTTTCAGAATTTTTGAAGCAGTTTACAAGGCATGGCAACATGTTTTACTTTCAAGACTTATGGCATCCCGGAAGTGTGTGTTACTCTTTTTTGGTAACACCCGAGTTCACCATTTCAGCTGCTGACTCATCTGCCAAGCTCTGATTGGTCTGAAAATCGGTGTGGCAGTCCATTGCCGTTTTGTGCAGGTGGTCACCGAGTTTTAGGACAACCCATCATCGGAGCAGCACGTGACAGCTGTCGAAAGTTACTATTCCGTAGTCATGGTGCATTGTTGGCAGCATTTCCCTTGCCACCCTTTCATTGTTGTCATGCCAATGGTGCAGGGACAGAGAATGAGACAAGAAGTAAAGGTGTTCAAGTGGGACTCTACCACCCTCCTTTTGAGAAGTGTGGTCTTCCTGGAAGCAGCTTGCAAGAGGGTGCAAGTGGGAAGACAAGCTGACTCATGGTTGGCTTGACTCACTATGGTTAGCCTTGAGTACAGCTCTGAACATCCAAGTGTGGTTGGCTTTGCTGACCTAGCTAGGACGTTTCTCATCCTTCTCTAGCCTTTCTCCCCTAGGACTCAACCTTCTCTGAGTTCCCAGGATGGTCCCAACCCCTTAAGAGTCCCCTGGGCAATGTTGTACTCACCTCTTCCT